CCACGCTACGAACGGGGCTCCTTAGTTGACTTCGGTGCTTCGGTGCAGGCCCAAAGTCTCCGAAATTTATGGTCGAACTGCAGGCGTGGCACAGGTGTGACTGGTGATTCTGACCATCCTGGGAACTTGATATCTTCCAAAGGGGAGGGAGCTTGAAGTGTGTGGTTTGCATTCTGCATTCAACTGTTGGAGTACGAAGTAGATGACGCACGAAGGAATTGAAAGAAGTAAAAGTAGACTGCGTGTCCATCTTTCAATTGAACCGCGGCTTCACAACGAGTGATGGGCAGGTCTGGTCTTGGGGTTCAAGGCTGCAAGACCAGATGAGGGGGATGAGCAGGGCTGCCCGAGAAGGAAGGATCGTGGGTGTTGCCCTTGTGCCCGGCAATTGACGTTTTTATTCCCTTTACAGTAAGTATAAGTCTGTGCATGTGTCTCTCGCTCTCGCTCTCGCTCTCTCTCTCTCTCTCCCTCTCTCTCTATCCTCTCTCTCGCTCTTGTACATCTCTGTGATGCCGATCTCGGGTGGACTTCTTTGCTTGTTCTCTTTCCTCAATGGTACATGTTACTGTACATATTGCACAACACGGATTGACTCAGTTTGCTACACTAACCTTGAGATATTTTTTTCAGTGCTTTGGTTGTACTTAGTCCGCATCTCCCTTGCTTGTGTTGAAGACTGAGGTTGGCCAAGGATCTTTCCTCCGTCGCAGATTCCTGGTGCATTTCTTCAAATGGGCGCGACACCCATCTGCTTTGCTTGAACAATTTCATTCAGGAAGTGTCAAACCTTCACCCGATTGTTTGCGCCTTCATTAAGGTGGTTCTTCACCCAACAGGGCCAACCAAATCCGCAGCTGCTGCGACCCAGTAGCCAGGCGCTTTTCGGGGCATTTGTTTTCATCGGCTTGAAATGCCAGTTGATTATACTTGCAGGAAATCCCTTCGGCCAAAACTGAGGAATCAGGGAATCCTTCACACCCTGGGAGCCATGATGCCTTTTGCGACATCCACTTCCGAAGAAACGATGCCATTTAGAAAACACAATTTGCTACTTTGACTCTCGTCCATATTTCGAGTACCTAGTTCGAGAAGCGCTAAGCTAAGGTGAACACCACACCACTGAAGTGTGAAAACTAGGCTTCATTGCAAGGCAAAGACGGGTGATCCCTTGTGGGCCTCCCAAATCTGGGCCACGGGGACGGCTTTCCTTGAGTCCAGGAACCAGTTGCTAGAAGCTAACTTAGCCTAGTAGCTTACCTCCTTACTTCAAGAAAGTAGGCGCCTACTTCATCAAGTAAGGATGCAGGGTCACGGGCTTTAAAGACAACGGTACGTCCTTCATTCCGTTTCGTGTCACGTCCTTCTCAGATGCGGGCGACGCCAGAGATCCGACCGACCTGGCACCGGAAACGAGCTCACAGCGGCTTGCAGCTCAGGCGACACGGAGTTGAAGTTCCGTCTCCAAAGTGGGACTGATTGTCTCAGATCCCATTTGAAGAAATGGTTGGCGGCGTTTGCGGTTTTCAATTTTTGAAGCTGGCAGGTGCCATTGGCCACCACCATCCAAAGGGCCTGGCTCTTTGGCGCGGCAATTTGATTGGCCCTTAGCACTGGCGGTTTAGTCCAGATCAGAAACATCAATCTAGGATCCTAGGATTGGTTGGAAGATTCAGCCAATACACTTTGGACGTTTCTTTTTGATTTATACTTATCCAACAGCGGGTCTTCAGCCATAGTAAAGACTTCGGAGCAGATCGGAGCATGTCCCGAGCAGGTTCCAGAGCAAGGTGCGGAGCAGGAAGCTCCAGACAGAGCAAGTTTCAGAGGAGGTGCCGGAGCAGGTTCCTGAACAAGCTCTGGAGAAAGCTCCAGAGCAAGTTCCGAAGCAAGTTCTGGAGCGGGTTCCAGAGCAGGTTGCCGAGCAGTTTCGAGAGCAGTAAAGGAGCAGGTTCCGGAACAAGTTCCGAAGCAAGTTCCCGAGCAGGCTGCGGAGCAGCTTCCGGAGCAAGTCTTGGAGCAAGTTCCAGAGCAAGTTCCCGGAGCAGGTTCCCGAGCAAGTTGTGGAGGTGCCGGAGCAGGAGATAGCAGAGGAAACCCCGAGCTTTCGGAGCAGGTGCTGGGACAAGTTCTGGAGCGCTGGGCCGTTTCTCTGAGGTGTTGCCATATTGTCATGCTGGTCGGCTGGTCGGGTCACGCTGTCGCGCTGACCTGATGGCAGGCTCCAAAGTGGGCTCCGGAGAATGTTTACTGGTCTTGCTTGCAGTGGCGTTGTCGTGCTTGCGCACATGATATGTGCTATGCGAACGTATTGCTAAATTTGGTATGGTTGCGTGGCAGGTTACAAAGGTTCACGCAGTTGAGGACAGCCTTGTCTGGCAATGACACCCACTTGTTGGTGAACTTGTGATGGTGCCACTGCCCTGTAGGTGGATTTTGATGCCCAGTTGTTGGGGATTTGTTTTGGGTCTATGTTTAAATATTCTATGCTCTGATTGGAGTGCGCTTTGGCCAAGGATTGGTCAGTGGCCCTTCAGGAGGGCGACGTCCTGGGGCTTCTGGTGGGGGACCCAATGGGAGCGACTCCATGCACTCTGGAGTTTCCTTTTTTTGACGCAGGACATGGATGTGGGAGGTGCGCGTCCTTTTGTTTTCGGCTTTTGTGCACTGTGTACGGTCGTTTTCGGCTCGCTTGGAGAAACCTTGTGTGGTGAAAACAACTTTCGGAACTGATTCAAGTCTCCAGTCAAACGTTTGAATTCGACCCTCCTTGAAATTTATCAGCTGTTTTTGTCATTATCATTGTTTGATTTTTTTCAGCTCGTTTGGTGGGCCATACAGAGAATTCTGAGCTCTTGCTTGCTTTCCCTAACGCCAAGGCCTTGCCAAGCGGAGCCTTGGTTCTCACCGTGAATGGCAGCAGAGAGTTCATGGTGGCAGATGTCCTTCGGCAAGGGATGTTGAGCTGCAAGGGATGTTGTCCCATCCTTTCAATGTTTCTGATAACTTGGCAAACTTTATGCCTCAACTAGGCTAGGCGCTGGTGGGGTGGCTGGACTCATCTTTCATGTGGGGCCTGTCCCAGCCTGACATGGTTCCTTTGGTAAACTGATTATATAATCTAGTGATTTTTGCAGGGACCAACTGGAAGAATGCGATTGTTAAAGAACTACAATTTTGTATGATTATGATTCCCAAACAGCTGGACATTTCTGCAAATATGGTCAGAGAACGGTAGAATTGGGACAAGTATTGTTAGGGCCTGGTGTTTGGCACAAGCACAAGATAACTCACAAGCTCATATGTACACAGGCCATCATGGGCCTCTATGCCACAACATCAGAATATTCCTTCATGGAAAACTCTTCCCGACCCAGGCAGGTGTTGCTTCTGACCGCTTCTTGTATCCCATCGTACAGGCTGGTTGTGGGGGTATGTTTGCAGAGAACGGTCTTGCTCAGCTCTTGAAGAGGTGGGCAACCATGTCAGATCAATCAAGCTTTGTCCAGCAGTCTGAGCCTGAAGCTGGTTGATCCTAGTAGGTCCTAGTATGCTAGGAAAAGGGACACAAAGCTGCGTTAGTGGAAGCTTTTGGTTTTTATCTCTCAAACTCATTTCAGGAAGATACCCTAAACAGGGTTAAGTAGAACAAGAGAAGGGTGACAAATTGAACATCTGCACTCTAGAGCACGCACTTGAGAGCACAGGTAGAGCACGCCTATGAGAGCACAGGGAATGTGAGAGCAGGGGTGAGAGCGCACATGTGAGAGCGCACATATGTTGCAAACGTATGAGAGCTCACACATGAGAGTGCAGGTATTTGAGAGCACAGACTTGAAAGCACACACACACACACACACGCCCGTAAGCACACTTTGAGGTTCACAGGTTGCTGCGCCTGCCACGAAAACCGCACTTTGCGGTCCATAAACTGCTGCTGCGTATCGGCCAGGGAAGGCAATTGTTGGAGTTTTTTGCATCCGCAAACGCATGCAACTCCAGATCGCGTAGGCCCCACAATTATGCTTCGCAAGAGCAGCATGCGTAGTACGGACAAATATATCCAAAACATGTTTTTGCATTTTCTTGTTCCAAACAGTTTGCAGAACTTGGGGCGATCTGTCTCCCAATTTCAAGAAACGAAGTCCAAGTCCAAGGTTCACGATTCTCTGCACCTGGCTCACAACAATCAGAGCATGCCAAAGACCGCTAAGTCAAAGTCCAAAGTGCTGCGCCTGCTAAGAAATTTGCACATTGAAGTACAACTGCTCCTATCTCCCTTGCCTGCCACGGGAAAAGTCGACTTCAGACACCTGTCACGAAAAATGACCAAGTCTGAAAATGTGCACAGCGCCTTTGCGAGTTTGCGCAGTCGAATGCACTTCGAAGATCTCGAGAGGTGTGAAGGTGCTGCAAATGGCAGCGCCTCAGCCACAGATGCCGGTCAATCAAACCCAAAGCCTAAACCATTGTTGTAAGAACCTCCAACGTTTGTGCATGCGTAATGTGTGTCCATCAAGGGTTGTTGCAGCTTGCAAATTCATCCCATGGTGTCCCTTCAAGCACTACTTGTCAGAAAGAGCCTGAGGTCGAGCCGCCTGAATGAGTGTCGAGAGACAACCTCTTCACGTTCGGCTACACACATGCTCTAGGTTACTAGATGCACTGTTTCGCAGAGTTTCACCTGTTCATAGATTAGGGGCTTCTGAACTCGTGCGAATCCATAGAACAAACAACAAGTTGATTATGCAGGGCTCAGTGGTGTATTCAGTGGCCTCGCTTTCAGTGGCATGCCCGTGCGTTGCGCGCTGTGCCTGTGCAGCAAAGCTGCAGCCCACAAAGTTTGGGTGGGACACTGGTAGTTGAAAACTCCAAGAATTTCATTGGAGACCATTGCTTCTAGGTTGGAGGCCATGGTTATTAGGTTTCAAACGGTTTCAAAACACATTTTCAGAGTTCTTGTTGTGCAAGCAGGCCCTAGCACTCCCTCTCGCTCCAAGGTGCCGGTGAAGCGCCGTAATGCTGAAGCCGCGAGCGTGTCTTGGAGGAGTTTGGAGGGTGAATCTGACTGTTGAATTGACACTACTCTGGAGGGGGCATGGTGGGATAAGGATTTAATTCGCGAATTTCGTGTTCCGCGCACTTCGTAGGTCAAAGAAAAGAAGATTCGATTGGAGGTTCAGCTGCCTGGGCCACGGCTGCACCCTCCTCAGACATTACATCGCCAAAATGGTTTTCTTCAGAATAGGTTTCCTTCAGAATGTACGGGATGGGAAGCTTCAAGAGCTGTTGTGGTTGGTTCAGCATTCATCCAGATCTTGTGAGACGGTCCATGGATGGATGGATGGACGGACGGACGGACGGACGGATGGATGGATGGATGATAGCACCACGAGGCGCAGCCTTGCGCCGAGCCAGGAGAGCATGAGCAAGCTGGAATCTCAAGAATGACCATCGCAGAGGTTTGCTTCGAGTCAGGACGATCCAAGCGGCAATGCTCATATAGGTTTGCTTCGGAAGCCGCTTCAGAGAGTTCGGAAGCAAGAGTTTGATGAGCGATGCCGCAGCGATGCCTCACTGAGGAAGCAGCTCACCCTAGCTCAGGCCTGGAAAGGCCTGGAATTTTGTCCTGCACTTTCTGCGGATCTATTTTTCTCTTTAATAGCCCGCTCACCCCCCTCCCTACTTAATTAAGTAGGCTAGTAGCGGCTAGTAGTTGAAGTAGCTACTACCTAGGACGCAGGATAGCTCACGCTTCCTTGAAGAAGCGCTCGCACTAATGATTTGGTTCCTAGATCTTTAGGAAAACGTCACATTATTCTTCAGGTCAGATCTCAATGCCTAACGAGCTGATCGTCGAGGATAGCTATGTTGAATGAAGTGCACGAGACTTGAGACTCGTCGAAGACTCTCCACATCCCGGGCGCTTGTCTTGGCTTCGACCCAGTTTGGACGCTAAGGGCGGGTGCCGTTGCTCCCAGTCTTGCCAACTGACGCGGCTTTGTACAGTTTGGTAGTGGTTTCCGGGGGATTGGAATCCCGAAAGGTTCTGAAGGCATCTTGCTTGATCTGAGGGGAAAAAGGTCAAATGAACGAGCCAGTTGTTGGTCTTTGAATGAATTGGATATGGTTTGGATATGGTTTGGATCTGTTGTTCTGTCACACAGTTGTTTGGTCTTGCTTTTTGATCGCTCTCCATTCCTTCGGACGGATGTATGGCTGTGCTCAAGGCATCGTTTTGGCCATGACCATCGCTGTAGGTCAGACACAGCCCGATCTACGTGGGGTTTTCGGTAGCAGCCCGATCTTAAAGAGGACAGAACAAAGAGTCTCTTTCAGCCCAGCTGGGTGCATCTTAGCCCTTGGTGTAGGAACAGGAGCTGTTTGTGAGGATTGAAGCAGATTGAAGGATTGAAGGATAGAGGCCACTGCCATTGGATATGGTTTGAGCCCGATAGATCGAAGATCGGACGAGGGGTCGAGAGAGCGCCGAACGCATAGTGGACGCAGATTTCCAGTTTGCGACTTCGGGCCATGGGAGCACGACAGAGTTGTACCAAGGCTGGGAAGTTTGACACATGGTTTCATGGTGACAACATGTTCCGTAAGGTTCCAGAAGTTTTTCTCCATTTCAGCAAGCTCATTTTTTGATAAAAAAATAAGGCTTCAGAAGGAAACTCTTTGTTCTCAATGAGTTCAGGCATGCTCCAATTGTGCAGCAGACTGTACTCGACCTGGTCAAGGTGTGCCTGAGCTCCTTGGGTCGTCTAGGCATGTCTAGGCGGTCAACTTTGACAACTGATACCCCAAACTTTCACGGGTGCCAGGCAGTCCGTTGATAACAGTCTTTGGCCTCTGAAGGTCAAGACTTGTGGTGTTTTGTTAGCAAGATTCCATGTTTGCTTTCAACGTATATAGCATTTTTTTTACTGGTGCAACAAATTGTAATCACAGAAACATCGGAATGTGAGGTGGCGAGAGAATCATTTGAGATTTGGGGTGACTCCCCAAGAAAACACTCCAAAGTTCACTAGGGTCCTCAGCCAAAGGGATGAATCCACCGTCTGTTCGCCTCACCGCGACTTCTCTTCACTGGGAGACTTCGACGGAGACTTCCGTCGACTGACCAGGTGGAGATGACTTCGATGATGATCGACCTGGGGGTGACCCTGCGGGAGCCACCTTCGAGGAAACCTTAGAGGAAACCTGGGAGTGCCCGAAAACCGGATCGGACTTGTGGCCAGCAGTGGATTCTGTTTGGAATAAAATCTCTATGGACACGTCCACATGATTGCAGATGGGTTTCCCATAAGGATGGTCAAAAACCAGTGCGATGGCAATGGGATGCACTAATTTTTTGCAAAGGAGGCGGAGACTCCCAAGACCGTAGGTTGTTGCAGCCGCGGAAGCCGTACCGCAGGAGACGACACACGGAAGCCCGAAACCCGCACCCACGGAAGCCAGAACGTGGGAAAATGGCATCGATCTATCACGGCCCTCCCTTTTGCAGGATCTGAACAGTCTGGATCGGCATCTGATGCTCTTTTGCGCCTCATCCAACTTGGCTGCAGTGCGATGGCTCATGCAGCTAGGCAGGCCCCTGCTTGTCCTAGAGAAGCTAAGTGTAGTTTGTCTCAGAAGCTTTTTGTTGGTTCGACTGTATCTGCAAGACGTTACCAAGAAACATTTGCATTTGAGATATGCTTCCGACTTGCAGGGGCACATTGGGATGCCTGTGATGCCAACGGAACCAGCTGCCTGCATGTGGCCTGTCGGTCTGGGACGCTCTCCATTGTCAAGGCAGAATCCTTCAAATCGTAATTCTTTGTATTTCTTTGGTAATCCATCGCTTGTAGGTTGGAGGCCATCGTTAGTAGGTTGGAGGCCATCGCTATTAGGTCCTGGAGGCCATCGCTTGTAGGTTGGAGGCCATTGCTACTAGGTTGGAGGCTATCGCTATTGGGTTGGAGGATCCCCACCCTGTTAACCATGGATTTGAGGGGGGGGCCTGAAAAATGTAACTTCCAATTTCCCCCCCC